CCCCAAAACCCCAAAACCCCAAAACCCCAAAACCCCAGAAATTAACTTAAAAATTGATAATTTATATTAGTCTAAATAATGGAGCCGCCTGCAAACAGACCAGAAGCTGAAAATCCAAAAGGTAAGCTAAATACCCATCCTAAATACACACTCCTGTTCTAACTTGCCATATGTCAGTTTCTCACATCGCTCTAGCTACGAACACAACATCAGGCATAAAAAGAAAGAGAGAAGATGACCTAACAAAGGACGAACCCAATCACAAAAGACCAAGACACACAAATATTTTATCAAATATTCTCAGGTACGAAAGCGAAGACTCCTCTGAAGGAGAAGATGGCTCAGACAGCAGCGATAGCTCAGAATACGATTTTATTAAATAAGGCCAGAGAAGGCAAGGCAGAGATATCCTCTGCAAACCCCCAGCTCAAAGATAGTGAGACGATTAAAATCAAAGAGGAGGTCCAGAAGGTCCTGAGTAATACCAATCAAGGTGAGTTTTAGAATTTGATAACCATTAGTTGCACAAGAAATATTTACATTGCTGCCTGGAGCCAAGCTGGCCAAAGTCCAGCAAGTCATGAGCATTTCAGCAGGTCTTAGGCAGAATAAAGAGTTCAAATTTGTTGAACATAAAGATGAAAAGAAACCTAATAATGAGGATTACAAGTCTGATTCAGATGATGGGGTTACAGAGATCAAGAAGAGCGAGTTGGTCAACCGAGAGGACTATGAAAGGGAGAAATTAAGACAACATTCAAGAGCTGATTATATCAAGCAACAACATGAGCGCATGGCAAGGATGATGCCAAACAAAGATGATAAATCTAAAAATAACATCAGAGCATTGGCCTTTGATATTAGTGGAACAATTGAAGCCGATAGATCCACCAGCCAAAAGAACTTCATTAACGCTAGGAGAAAATACGGTTGGTAAATCACCTAAACTTCAAAATAATTCAATATTAAAATCTTCAAAGGGGTTTTGGGGTTTTGGGGTTTTGGGGTTTTGGG